TACCAGACCATACCCGTCTAGTTCAGACCAGATGATCGAGACCAGTCAAAAAACAGATTTTCTCAGTAAAACCAACCCGGGATAATGATTTCACTTTTACTTATGTTTGTTATCATATCATGTGGCATCATTATTGGATATTGACGTCTTTGGAATCAAAATGGCGATCTAACATCAAAATATGTTAATGAAACTATTAGAATTAGAACTCTCTAACTTGCACTACCACCAGTGACAGTTGTACCCTCTAGCATGTGATCATCAAGCTTCAAGAATATAAGTCTTGTTCATTACACCATCACATAGATTGACTTTGTTTTTTTAGCATCAATGTTATTCCCAATTTTAGGATGTTTTTACTTGGACTCACATTTTCTGGTCTGGTCTGTTTTGATCTGATCTGGTCTAGTCTGAACTAGTTGGGTCTGGTCTAGTAAACGTCTGGTCTCTGTATATTTTATAACTATCCAAGTCTGATCTGGTCTGGTCTGGGACAAAAAACAATCCGAGTAAAAACATCCTAAATCATTTTACTTACGACTTAATTGGAAGCGTGACTTAATCATTCAGTCAAAAAACTGATTTAATCATTAAGTTAGAGAATAGCAGTCCTTCCCAATAAGACGTCTATTAAGACATCTTTTTTTTTCCTGTGCGGACTTGGTGATGTGGGCAGATCTGCTGGCCCGAAGGTGCATGATAGGTTCAATCCTACCTTTTTTCTAGGCAGGGTTGGAGATGGATGCAACATACAAACTCCGTTCAAACTTCTTCCGTTCGCAGCGGTGTCCCCCGTTTCTCCTCCTCCGAAGATAACCTTTATTTCCATTCAGGACATCTTCCCCAGATTCTCTGATCCTTCAGCCTCCTCTCTAGGCTGGATGTACACATCATTTTTCGGTTCGGCCTCACGCCGATATGATCATCCTGTCTCCATCTGTTAGATCTCTTGTACTGTTTTTGGCTTGGGGGAGGTCCATTCGGGTTGTTGCTAACATATTTCCCCAAATGGCCCTGCTGGATCAGCTCCTCAATAGCAATCTGCAGTGCGCGACAATTTTGGGTGGAGTGTCTCTTACGCCTGTGATAGTTACAAAAGGCATCCTCTCCCCCCTGTAGTCCTTCGTATAAGTTGGACGGGGGATGATGTCCTTCTCATTATAAAAAATGGTTGCTATTGAGAGGACAAGCGGGGTGAAACGCCTCGCCTTTGGTGGTGTGGCCGGTGAGATGGGTCCCAGTCGATCGGCCAATCTCATCGGTGCAGCGGGTGGTCCCATCCTGTCTCTGATCATGATATCTTCCTCCAGGGCCGCGTGCTTCCGAGCCCTCTCCAACACTTCGGCATAACTCGTGTCTGGATTCTTCTTCAGGTCTCGGTATAGTTCCCCGGTCTGGAGGGCATCAGTAAAGAGAGTGATTCCAGTATCTTCAGTCATGTTCCCGACCTTTAGGGTCTCATCCCTCCATCTGGTCAAGAACTGGGTGATAGACTTCCTCGGACCCTGGTGGACACTCGTGAGGTAGCTGAAGTGCCGCTTCGGGGTAGCACTGGAAGCAAATGTTGAGGTTAAGTCTCGCAGATCCAAAAGCCCAACACCAACTTTGGGATATTAAGGACACTGGTTAAGTGTAAAAGTGTTTAAAATATAAAATGTGAGTGAAATGAGCTTAAAAGCCTGCTTGTATTTGAGTAATAATGATGATTATACAAGAGAGGCCGAACGGCGCTTCAGAACAATAGCTAATACAAGAACTAGATAGACATTCTAAGGCTTTTGAGTGTCAAAATGCTAACCCTTTACAATGAAGTTAATGCGTCTATTTATACTAGAAGGGGGGTAGGTGGGGTGATGATGTGGCCGAATCCAGTTGGTTGCTCTCTTGGCCACTTGTGCACCCATGCTCCCACTTGCTACCGCCATACTCTAGCATTTAATGCATCTTTGCCACTTGCGAACTCCCCGATCGGTCTCTGGACTCCTCAGGCTAATGGATAGAGCTAATGTCTGTTATTTGTTCCAAGCATGATAATTGGGCCGTTCGGATCATACCGAACAGTGTCGCCTTTGATGATTGATAACCCGTTCGGGGTCCCCTAAATTTGGACCAGGTTCCCCTTTATTTGGGCTGGCTCTCTCTCTCTCTCTTGGGCCCTTACTATTCTGGACCGGGTATTGGGTCGGATCCCAATATCCCAACAACCCAATATCACGTTTGTGATTATGATCCATACAGTTAGGGATAATAACCCTAGGTATGATTAAAACTCAATCAAATTCCCAATCTATGACCTAACCAGTTTTTTTTACCAAATTAATATAAAAAATCATAATATTTAATTAAAATTCGTAATTAATAAATAATAAATATTTTTTTGGGACAAATATACCATTTACTTTATACCTATAAAAATAATAAAATTCTAACTTCTTATTCTTTTTCTACAACCCTAGCTACAGCCTCCCAACGCCCACCCGCGCAGCCGCCCGACCATCCAACTGTTGCCCTCTCTCTCTATATATACATGGACTATGTATATCACTTCAAAATGTAGTTGTAGTCAAGTCGAAATGTAATTTGAGACACGTCGAAATGTAAACCATGTTAATGGAGATATAACTTAAAACAATTATTAAGTCAAAGTGTAAACCATGTTAATGAGAATGTGACTTGAAATTAAACAAGTTGAAATGTAAACCATGGGTTGAAGACAAGTCGAATTGAAATATAAGTTGTCTAATACTTTGTATACGATATATAGGTTGAAGACAAGTTAGAGGCCTTCAAATACAAATGTGAATGTTTATTTTGGATTAGTAATACTTGAGTTTGGATTAACAGAGGAGAAAACAAAAGAAGAACAAACAGAAGAGTCGGTGAAGAAGATGGATGGACAGATAAGCGGAGAAGAATAATAAAAAATGACTAGACATATCGGAGAAGAAGATCGAGGAATAGATGGTCGGACAAATGGTCGAATAAGAGGAATAGATGATCGGACAGATCAATGAAGAACAGAAATAGATAGCTAGAAAAGAAACAGAGTTATCCATTTTTAATGAGGAAATCGCTCAAGCTAGAACTAAATTAAACATACTACCATTGTATAATTGGACATTGCTAACTTTAATATGAGCGTGAAATAAGAAAAGTAAAAATTGTGTGATTAAAATTTTTGTAGAAGAGAGATAAATAATCGAGAATCGCAAATTAATTACTTTTAAAGGAAAGTGAAAATGCTTTTGGAACAACTTAAAAAAGGTGGCAAGGTCATTGAGACCATATGCTTTGTTTTCCATAAATAGGACGAATCATTACATTTCTACCTCTAATATAATTAGCTAATATAACTGATTTTTCGATTTCCACCATTTGCAATGGAGCCAAAGATTCATTATTTTTTGCCTTGAGAATATGATGGAATAAAGCAAAATGGTTCACTAAACTGTCTGCGCTTCTTTGTTATGAAGCAGCATTCAGTCCATGCAATTTTGGACGCGATTTTCACTATGGGTCATCCGGAAACAGTCTCTATGTGCTTTAGTACAGGGGTAAGACTGCGTACATCTGACCCCCCCTTACCCCACTGTAGGTGGGAGCCTTTGCGGCACTGGGGTAAATGAATGAAAATGAACTGATTTTTCGCTCTAGTTCTCGGACATAATCAAGGTTAGTCCGTTGGTGATGGTAACCCGACGGCGAACTCCGACGATGGAGGCAGAAATGTGGCAACAGATTGGTGATTGTGCCCGCGATAAAAATACCCGACGGAAATGGTATAGTGGGTACTTTTACAACCCTATGAGAGTATTTGTATGCAATTACATATAAAATTGGGAAAATAACTTTAAATAATCCAAACTATCTTTCATGAACTAAGAATAATATGTACTTTGGAAATAACTTGTAATAATACCAACCACTTAAATCTAGACCAAAAGTGATATAAAGCCTTTTTTCACCAAAAATTTAGTCATTTGATTCACCATAAACTAATATTAAAATATATAATAAGTGAATGTATTTCCGAACATCATTTGTTTGTAATTAATTTTCAATGTCTCAAATGACTGGATTTCTTACTAAAAAGTGACTCCATATTATTTTTGTTTTACATTCAAATTGTTGGTATTATTGTAAGTCATTTTCAAAGTTTGTATTATTATTGGTTGATGAGTGATAGTTGATATCATTTAAAATTATTTTCCCAATAAAGTTTCTACCTCATGTTTATGAAATTTTAATCGTCTGTCTTATATTGGGAAAATGGCAAAACGATGCCTAGGTGATCGATGTGCATTGGGTCGTTGAAATTAGGGGTGAACATATTTTGTTTAACTGAATCGAACCGTATCAAATCGAATCAAACCGAATCGAAACTGGACCATATGCAATTTGATTTGAGTTTGATAAAAACCGCATTAAACCGAACTGAAACCAATAAAAACCGAACAAAACCGAACTAAAGAGATTCGATAAAACATTCAAATATTATTTAAAATTAATAAATCCAAATCGAACTAAATGGAACCGTACCAAAAATAAGAATTCCCCCGTTTCAAATCGAAACCGAAACTGATATAAACCGAAAACCGAAAACCGATATGCCCACCCTAGTTGAAATTCCGACCAGCTAGAACCGAGTTGGTCTGAGGGTCTGTTTGCAACAGCTTCTGCTTTTGAAAAAATGCTTTTTTTAATGAAATGAGGAGAAGTGATTAAATAAAAGTTGATAGTGTTTGAGAAAAAAGTGATTTTGAAAAGTAAAAGTGGGTAGTGTTTGGTAAAATAAGTGTTTTTTGTGTAATAGAAAAAGTAAAAGCACTTTTGACGCGGAAGACGAGAAAAATAAAAGTTGTAGTGTTTGGAAAAATAAGTGCTTTTTAAAGCCAAAAGCTGAGAAGTGCTTTTTTAAAAGCAGTTGCAAACAAACCCTGATTCAATTATTAAAAGCATAAACTACCGAGTTGGTCTAGTCGGACGGTTTGCCAGCTCTAATCACTGGAGTAGATGGTTTCTTACAAAAAAAAAAGCCAACTAGTATTGCCGCTCAGCTGCTGCATATAGAGAGTAGTTAGCAACTTAGCTTTGAATCGGATCTTGAACAGAATTTCAAGTAGATGTGTGAGGCTCCGAATGGGTAATTTGAGTTTATATTCATCGCAACGGAGTGCGCGCAAGTGGCAGCTGCTTGATTTTATGTTTGCCGCTTTCTTTGCGGCGGTGTTAATTTTTTTCGTCCTTGTCTTCACGCCACTGGGCGATCCTCTGGCGGCGTCGGGCTTGCAAACGCTGCTCTCTGGGGATCCGCAGCAGCACCGCAACCGTCTACTTGCACTCGTAGGGGAGTCGGGCAGGGAGATGCCTCAGGTTCAGTTCTGCCCTGCTGATTATGTGGACCACATGCCATGTGAAGACCCCAAAATCAACAACCAACTCAGTCGAGAGATGAATTACTACAGGGAACGGCATTGTCCTTCGCCTCAGGACACACCGATCTGCTTGATTCCTCCGCCTCAGGGTTACCAAGTTCCAGTCCGGTGGCCTGAGAGTTTGCATAAGGTCAGCCCTGTCAACTTCATAGTTTTTTTTCTCCAAACTTGTTGAAAATATGCGTATGTTCCTACTTCCTAGGTGTAAACATACTCCCAACTGAAGAAGTTCCTATACAGACAGTAAATATTACTGCTAAAACTTAAAACTTAAAACTGTTTTTACACTGTTATTCTAACTTGAGGGTGAGGGTGAGGGTGAGGGTATTAAATTAAAACAATAACTTCCCAAATTTGAGAGTACTTTATTTGGGGATGTTCCCAAAAAGTAATACTCCCTCCTTACACAAGAACTTTCTAGTTTGAATAATACCCAGTGTAAAGAAATAGTTTTTCTTTGACTTCTTGAAGTAACTAGGTAAAAAATCTACATTGTTTGGCACTGACTAACACTCTTGCTAAATGGTAGTACATGAATTGATAGGAAATTTGTGTACCAGTAGGACTTTATTTAGGGACAGCCGAAAAAGGAAAACAAGAAGTATGGAGGGAGTACATAACTTCAAATAGGAAACTCTTTAAATAGGGACAAAGTAAGTATGTAACTTGGGGTAAATGTATAAATGATACCATAATTATTTGTATTGATGCATTTTGGTTCCCCTGCTATTTGATGGAGCAAATTGTTAGTCTACGTGCATTCCGGCCAAAACATTATTGATAACCTGAATTAGTAATTCTACAAAAAAGCGTACTTCATTGCTCAAGTGAATTGATGAGGTCATCATAAATCATAAAGTACAATAATGTTCTATTGTAATCACTAGGCTAGATGCATCTTTTATTTCATCCTGAATTGATAAGACGAACTCAGATCAAATTTGATAGAGTAAATGTGATCAATTATTTAGTTACATCATTCCTTATCGGTCCGCCTCACTAAGATTGTTTCATACCAAATTTGGTAAAGTTTGTGTGGTTCTAAATCATTTTTACTTTATTTTTACTTTATCACTTCATATCAACCACATAAATCCACTTCTCTTAATAACCGCACCACCTCATCATGTCCCAATGTTAGTGGAACCAAGGTAGTATAACTTTTTTGGGTTATGTACATAGAAATATAAAATGGCACCCAATAGTTAACCCAAGCACTTTACTTTGGAGATGAAATAGGATTGGGATCAACGTGGAGATAGTTGTGTGCTTTAGAAAACCATATAGTAAACTGTGGACAAGGTTAAGTACAGAGGAACTCAGATTCCTTACGCAAAGCAAATTGAGGGTTCCCATATGTAGGTGGAGCTGTGAAGATGCTCATCTGTGAGCTGTCCAGTCAGGCAGCACCTTTATCTTCTCTATAGTTTTTATTTTTGTAAAACATGGTCATACTTTAGCTAGACTGAATATTGGATTAGTAGATGAAGATGCTCAACTAGGCCTAGTTCACTGAGCTTAAGCTATTCTCTACTTCTTTGTAATGCCCTTATTTATTTCCTATTTAATTTGGTGTATGATTTTAATTAATTGTTGTCTTTTCAGTGTCATGATGGGGCAGTCGTCCTATGATGGATGTCCTTTTGCTGATATATTCAAATTTCTTTGTTTTGGGAAAAAGTTCTAATGGTTGTTTCATGTTTCAAGTGAGTAATATACTAACATCTAGTTTATTTTTCAAGTGGGTAATATACTAATATCAAGTTTGAGTGTTTGACATTACCTTTTAGACTTTTAGTGAGGGGTGAGGGTTTGTGTGTGTGTGTGTGGTGGTTAATTACGTCCAATGAATTGGTGTTGCACCCTCTGCAGATATTTCACGATAACATGCCTTATAATAAAATAGCAGACAGGAAAGGTCACCAAGGATGGATGAAAAGAGAAGGTCCATACTTCATCTTTCCTGGAGGTGGCACAATGTTCCCAGACGGGGCAGAACAATATATTGAGAAACTCAAACAGTATATTCCTATAGCTGATGGAGTTTTGAGGACAGCTCTTGATATGGGATGTGGGGTATGCATTTTATTGGTTTTCAATGAGCTCACTGATTTGTACCTTTCAGAATCTCAAACCGTTTTGGATTTTACGCCAATAGGTTGCAAGTTTCGGTGGTTATTTACTTTCCAAAGACCTGTTGACCCTTTCTTTCGCCCCAAGAGATTCACACAAATCACAAATACAATTTGCTTTGGAGCGAGGAGTACCTGCACTTGTTGCCATGCTTGGGACCCGCAGGCTCCCATTCCCTGCCTTCTCATTTGATTTGGTGCATTGCTCTCGGTGTTTGATTCCTTTCACAGCATACAGTATATTTTTTCTGTCTTTGGTAATCTTGCTTCCCAAACCTCACCACTATTGCTTATGATTTTAACAAAAAACTGTTCATTGTAGATGCAACATACTTCATTGAAGTTGACCGGTTACTTCGCCCAGGCGGCTACTTTGTTATATCTGGCCCTCCCGTTCAATGGCCGAAACAGGACAAGGAATGGGCAGATCTTCAAGCTGTTACCAATTCTTTGTGCTACGAAGTTATTGTTGTGGATGGTAACACTGCCATCTGGAAAAAGCCCAGTGGGGATTCATGTATTCCAAACAAAAATGAATTTGGACTTGAATTGTGCGGTGAATCTGATGAACCCAGTCTTTCTTGGTGATGATTCTTTTTATGAACTGACATTTCTTTATCCCCTATGTTCTTAGGTGCACTGGCAGATCCAGCCTCCACCTTGAATCATATAGCTCATAATGGGGAAGTTCTCATTTTCGCAGGTATATGAAGCTGAAAAAATGTGTGAGCAGGACATCTTATGCGAAGGGAGGAGATTATGGTATCGGATCGATCCCAAAATGGCCACTGAGGCTGACAGAAGCTTCTTCAAGGACCAATTTATTAAGAAGTGGAATCAATATTTTTGAAGCAGACAATAGAAGATGGAGCAGGAGGGTAGCATATTACAAAAGGTCATTGAACTTGAAACTGGGAACCCCAGATGTACGGAATGTGATGGACATGAATGCATTTTTGGGTGGCTTTGCTGCAGCGCTGATATCTGATCCTGTTTGGGTGATGAATGTTGTTCCTGCTCGTAAGCCCTTAACACTTGATGTCATTTATGATAGAGGCCTTATTGGAGCTTACCATGATTGGTATGCCACATTCATTGCTTTAACCTTCCATTAACATGGAGCACTCTACTGTCTAGAATCTAGATACACCAGAATGTTCTCAAAGAGTATAATCATATTTTCATGTTATATTTCTCTTATCAGTTTATCTGCAAGGCTTTGACACCTTAATAGGTGAAAAGCCAACAAAATATTTTAGCACACAATTAGTCACCTTTATTCAGTATTCACACACTATAACAGCCACCTATGTTTTTGGAGTTTTGACGATTCCTAGCTTCACATATTCTAAACATCACAATCTTCAGATTTTCTCAATGAAGGGAGTTTAGTTCATTGTCTATAACATAGTATCAGATCCACTTTCTATGTGGCCTGATCAATTCCTCATGTGATCTTGAATTTATCTGTTTTTGTTCTTACTGTTCGGGTTCACAACTTTACATTTTCCTCATTTACTCTTTTTTCGATCCATCTCTTCAAGAAATTGGAGTTACAGATCATCTATATTAGTAAAATCAAATGTGAGTCTACCTAAGTTTTTTCTGACCAAAGGAACCACTCTCCACACAGTCACGGGCCACCAACTGGTGTTGGTTTCTGGCCAAAATATCTGGTCTTTCTCATGACAACACAGTGACTTTCTTGAGATCTTTTCAGCAATTTCTAAGTAACCATGAATGAAGTTGAAGATTCTTGCTGCGATGAAGAAACTAGTAAACAACACCCGTCCCCACTTTTGCTATTTCAATCTATTAAATCTGTCACTTCCCCCTATCTATATGATACATTTACTTATTACCAATAAAAATGTGACAGAACCCAAATGGTTTTAATTCATACTTCTCCTAGATTTGCTGCTCTTCTCTTCTTTCCAAGATATCATCTTCTTGCAGAAAATACGCAGTTTGTTGGTCTCCTCTTCTCCACTCGCACTTAGCATCGTATTTTTTAAATGATCACCAAGCTAGCTAATACCACATCTCGCCAAAGGAAGTCTGCGACTAGAAAGAATGAAGTTTTCTCTATGTCGCTCTGTAGTGACTTAGACAAGGAAGAATGCCATTGTTTACTTGAAGTGTTGGCCACTAAAATAGAAAGAGTGTATGAATGCTATTATGGGCTGACCTCATATGAACAAAATGTCTCAAGTTTGCCGGGAAGAGGGAGTACCACATTTCCCTTATTCCTGTTGAACTTGGAAGATAACCTTATGGGAAGGTATCCCAAAAGGGACAAATTCTTCATGGTGTTTTGTCCCTTGCTAAACTTGGTCTTAAATATGAACATGTTTGGAATGTGACTATTTGTGAGGGTCAGTTTGAAGTACTGCTAAAATATTAGGCGGTTCATTCAGGTCTCTTTTGTTTCAAAAGAAACCAGAACGCCATCCTCAAATGATCATTCAGCTCCAATTGCTCAATTTTGGGATCGTCACAACATGGCAGTGGAGAGGGCAACGAGGTCCTCGAAGTGGAGGATGAGGCACACCTTGTTTCTGTGATTTATGAAATACACGCAGGAGTACACGTGATGAAGCTGGAAAATGCATGGGCAGTAAGCTTTGGTTGTAGTCCAAAGCTTGTCAGAAGATTGAGTAATTCAAGAATCATATAGAGCCTCAAAAGCTGATTACATGGCTGGTCCTTGGGGGTGCAACATTGGCATGCAATCTATGCCCAGAAAAAATCACTAAAATAGGCCCCGAGCGTGTTTCTTGATGAAAAATATATCCCACTGTTCAATGTCCTTCCAAAGTTCTTTTATGAAGTCAAACAAATTTGGAGTATCTTTTAAAATTAAAAAAAAACTTGGGAATTGATTGAGCATTAGAATATTACTCAGTAACCTTTCTCAGGGTTCTTGTCATCCCTATGACTTTGACATGAGTTTTTGTGTTCAGATACTCAGCAAAACGGGGTAGCTGAATGGCTGGAAGATGCCTGGTCCAAGCAATTTGAACCTTGTTTATCCATTGTGCTGTTATTGCACAACATTAGGGGAGAAAGCCTTCATTCCTGCTATTTCATAAATTGGCTGCTCCCTCCTTCCTTAAAGGGTCAAATCTGTTACAATATTCTTATCATCCTTTTTTCCCTTTATCTTCTTTATCTTATCTCTAGTTTATATTATCTTTTTTATCATACCTTATTTTTTTCTTATCTTTTTTCCCTTTTGAATCCAATATCATGTATCGATTCATGTTAGCGGACCCCAAATTTTTTTGGCTTGAATGTGTTGTTGTCAGACATTTCCAACTAATCCATAAAATGTTCCCTTGTAAGCTATACTTCCCAGCAATAGGGTTTCAGTTATACTATCCTAAGCAACAACAGCTTTACACCTCTCGAGGCATCACATTCTTTAATTATACTCCATATTTGTATTTCTACTTCCAGAATCAGTTTGACACTTGGACGAAATAGAAGAAAAAATCAGCAAGAGTAATGGCATGTCTTATTATCTCAATGTGTTTGACTCACATTTCATGTTAATCAATAGTCTCAGTGTGTCTTCCACAAAATAAAGGAGAAAATAATTTAAATACCCCAAATTTTAATGGGGTGTGAGGTAAGCACCTCAAACTTGCATATGTAATATATATACTCCGAACATTATATAAAAAGTTATTTTCGCACCATGATTGCATGTTTTTTTTTCAAATACAAATTTGTTGGAATAATTACATAATTTAAAATAGTCTAAGCTTTGTTAGAATATAGTTAACATTCTAAAATTTCATTTGTGAAGTAAATAATATTACATCCAGTAAAATTTAATTTTAATTGCATCCTCATTAAAGTTTTGTGTATTTTAAATTATGTACTTGACACCATAAAATTACATTTGTGAAAAATATATATACTCATGGTGGTAACAATACTTTTTATATAAAGTTTGGGGTATATATATTACATTTGCAAGTTTGTACTCATCTCCCACCCCTTAAAAGTTTGGGTTATTTAAATTATTTTCCCCCAATATAAAATATGTATCTATTATTTCCACATACTTATCAGTGAAGAAACCCACGAGTTCCCAACACCCATGGAGAAGGTGAAAAAGAACATCGCAAAATGAAAGTCCCTATGGATAGAAAAATGTAATGCTCTTCTTGTGGAAAGATGGTTTACTTGAAGCATTTGGAAATGATTATAATGTGACTTTCATACGTGCAGCTAATACGGCATTTGTCCGCATTTTTCTGTTTATGGCTGCCATTCACCAATCACCATTGTAACTTTATACAAAACTGATATCCTCGGTGCTCTAAAAGAAGTATTAAAGTATACATTGAACAACCTTCTATCTTTCTTAGACCTACTGAAGTAGTGCGAAAACTTGATTCAGCCCGTCCTGGAGCCTTATGTGATTCAACCCTTTCATATCGCCTACTCTAATACATTGTGGTTATCTTTAGTTGAGTTCCCTGGCTTCTTATTTACAAAGTTCCAGACTAATCTACCTGCAGTTAGACACTTCATTGTTATGTACAATTAAAGTGTCTTCCTGAATTCATTGTTTATTTTGTCTTGATGCTACTATGCTTTCAATTCACAATTTCTATTTTAAAATTTCTCCAACAATAATTTGGAGATGAAATTTTTACTTAAGCTTACCAAAATAGTCCACACGCCATCCTCAAATAAAAAAAATACTCCAAACAGACCATAAAAGCAAATGATATATTGGCTTGAAAATTAGTAGTTGATTATGTTTTCTTTTATTAATGTTTAGGTGTGAGCCTTTCTCGACATACCCTCGGTCATATGATCTGATTCATGTAGCTGCTATTGAATCTCTTACAAAGGATCCTGGTTCAGGCAAAAGCAGGTATGCACTGTTTTATTCATTTAAGTAAAATTCTATTTTTGCCATTCATTGTTGATGATATTTCTAAAGCAGATGAAGGAACTGTGACTTGCTGTTAAAGTAACAGTTTTTGACTGTTTCTGCAGGTGGTTTTTTCGTCTTTTTTGGTGTTTCATGTGTAGTTTTTTTTAGTGATGGTAGAGAGAGAGAGAGAGTAGGGTTTTGAAATTTAAAATAATATCTGGCCAAGGTACCTATTACATTAATTTTTCTTCTTAACAAGGGTATACCTTCTATTTTTGGGACAAACATAAGTGGTATACCTTCTATGTGAGAATATAGTGTATATTAAGCCCTACTCGATCCCTATAATTACTAAATATATTCCATTTTAGTCCAATATATGATCCCTACATATACTATTATGATATATTTCCAGGTGCAACCTTGTGGATTTGATGGTGGAAATTGATAGAATGCTGAGGCCAGAAGGAATGGTAATAATTCGAGATTTGCCTGAAGTGATTGACAGAAGCAATCGGATAGCTCATGCTGTAAGATGGACTACAACTATTTACAACAAAGAACCTGACTCCCACGGGAGGGATAAAATTCTGGTAGCAACAAAGAAGTCTTGGAATCTATCTTCGACCTCCCACTGATTGATCCTGTTTCCTTGGTTAAAGCCAAGTCCCAGCGTGGTTTCAAATGCCTATGCCCATTTTGTGCGAATTTGTTGTTTCACAACTTGAAGGGAAAAAGAAACGCAGAGGATATAACACTTAAAACAGCCCCAACGTATGTGATTTATATTGTAAACTACTTTTTTCATTCTTGCTGGCATTTTCAATCGCATCCTCTGTTTTTGTTAAGAATGTGTCTGGGGCATGGATTTTATTCATGGCATTGCAGCCTGTGAGAGCAATGCCAAAAACGTTAATGTATAAGATGATGTGTTTTTAACATTTTTGAGTTAGGTTTGGAAAACTAGCATGTCTGGAATTAGGGTGCTTCTCCTGCCTTCATCTATAGTCGCTGCATCTGTGGAGTATAAGCTCTGGTATAGTTGCAGTGTTGTGTAATGTTCTAGGCTCAAAAAGTGAAGAACAAGGAAGAAAGTAGGAATTCTTACTGTAAAGAAAAGAATTTCGAACGTAAAATGGAGGAGTGATTGAGATATGGAAGATCAATTCAGAAAATGATTATTAGCTGACGTTCTTATTACAGGCATATATGTATATATATACAAGATATCGACCAACGGTTCTAACAGATTCGTTTGTATTACAACAGTTAAAACTAATCTGTTATAACAAGGCATGCTAAGCTTCCCACATGTAAGCTGATGTGTTCACTAAGGTGGCAATAGTGAGCTGGTGCGTAACAATCGACCCCCCATAGGTTCAGCTTGTCCTCAAGCTGACGGCTGCCTTGTCACAAACTCTGGGAATCTTTTAGGGTCTGTTTGCAACAGCTTCTACTTTTAAAAAAGTGCTTTTTTAATGAAATGGGGAGAAGTGATTAAATAAAAGTTGATAGTGTTTGAGAAAAAAGTGATTTTGAAAAGTAAAAGTGGGTAGTGTTTGGTAAAATGAGTGTTTTTTGTGTAATAGAAAAAGTAAAAGCACTTTTGACGCGGAAGCCAAGAAAAATAAAAGTTGTAGTGTTTGAGAAAATAAGTGCTTTTTTAAAGCAAAAAGTTGAGAAGTGCTTTTTTAAAAGTAGTTGCAAACCAACCCTTAGACAGCTCATCATAAGATTCCCACTTAGCATCTTCTTTCTCCCCGTTGGTCCATTGGATCAGCCAATATATTGCAGCCATGTTTCCCCTTTTTTTCTTGTTTTTTTGTTGTTTTTTGTTGTTTTCTTGTTTTTTGTTGGTTTGGGGCTGGGTTTAAATGGGCTGGAATGGGTCTTTCAGATGGGTTTGTGGGATGGGGGGAGGATGGGGGGTAGGGGACAAAAATAATCAAGAAAACAAAAAAAAAAACTTATAACCGGACCCGACCCGGCCCAGACCGGCATCGGTCTACTTCCGTGCCGGTCCTGGGCCTAACAGAATTTTTTTGGCCCGGCCAGACCTAGGCTCGACCCGGGCCCGGAATCGGTGGAGTCCATGAATACCTGTAAGGCTGCAGTTTCACATAGAGCCAATCACCCACTAAAATTTCTTTCTCAGTTCTGTGTTGGTCTGCTTGAACCTTCATTCCGTTTTGAGCACTCTTCAAATGAAACTTGAGCATGTGAATACATTCCTCTTTGGCCTTTAAGCTCCTGTCAACAGCTTCAACCGAGCTAGTACCCAAAGCATAAGGGAAGTGAATGGCAGGAGACTGCCCATATACTACCTCAAAAGGGGAACTTTTGATGGATGAATGATAGTTGGTGTTATACCACCATTCAACTAGAGGAATCCATTTTGCCCATCACTGTTTGGCCCGGCCCGGCCCGGGGCCCGGTGGGTCCCTCGGTTCGGTTCGGCCCGGCCCGGCTGCTGGGCGGTTCGGGCCCGGGCCCAGGTTTTGGTGAACCGGCCCGGCCGGTTCGGGCCCGGTCCGGGCCGGATTTTAATTTTTTTTTTTTTTTTTTTGAATTTTTTTTAAGTTTTAGGTTGGATTAGGTATTTTGGGCCATTTGAGGTGGTTTGGGATGGTTTGGGGTTGAGGGGGAGGGGTAGGGGATTAAATAGGAGAACAAAAAAAAAATATTGGGCCGGTTCGGCCCGGCCCGGCCCGGTTTGGCCCGGAACCGGGACCGGAACCGGCCACCGGCGGTTCGGGCTCGGGCCTCCCTTTCCTGGCCCGAGGCCCGGCCGGGCCCAGGCCCGAACCGGCCCGAGTCCAGGACTAGTGGGTAGAGAAAAAGAAAAGATTGTGTTTAATTATGATTTTTGAGGAGAAAGATAGAGTGAAAAAAAATGGAGAGAGTAAATGGAGAGAAGAAAATGGAGAGAAGCATGACCCTGCATAAGGTGTAAAAGGGGTTGACAGTTGGGTTAAGTCAGGGACATTTTAGTCTTGACAACATTGAGATATATTTCTATTTTAGTCAATTCGAAACTCAGCTAATACTTTTTCATTTTTTCTATTTTTTCCTAACCTTAGTAGTGAGCAACCTTAGTGACTATAATAACTTTTCGGCCAGTTCAGAACAAATCATATAAGATTAAATTAAACAAATCAAACAAGAAGAGTAAATTTCAGTCCAAGCAAAAACATCCTTAGTAACCATATTGTCTACTAGTGAAAATTATATATACTCTCAATGTCCTCTAAAATTTGTCATCTTTCCTTCCAGAATGCTCCAAAAACTTTGTTACTTTTTGTTTTAGTAAATTGATTTGTGATTGTTGTTATTTCTCCATTCTTTTCATAAGCTAGTCTCAAATACACAGTTTTAAATAGAGTACATTAAAAGAGTATTTTGCTGAAAAATCTTCATCACTCCTATTTTTTTATTGCTATTTTTATTCAAAAGAAAGTTTGGGAATCAATTATTACTTCTTTGGTATCACTGCAACTGTCTTACTTTCTTTTTTGGGTGTATCAAATTAATTGTCACGTTTTCTTTTTTTGGAAAGAGGCTCACTAAATTAAAAAAACAGCTACAATGAGGGTGTTTGGATCTGATTCTTAAAACTGCTTCTGCTCCTTCTGGTGCTCAAATTTACTCCCAGAATAAGTTTTTTTAGAAACTGAAGGTGATCAGCTTCTGAAAACTAATTCTAATTCTGCTTTTACTTTAAAAAAAGAAGCAGAAGCAAAATCAGTTCCAAACACCCCTAATATCATTGTAGTATCACCACAGTACCACTATGGTACCAAAAAATCTTACTTCCTATAAAGTGTACAATAAATATTCTACTTTTTATAAAGTCTGCAATAATTATCTTACTCCAGTATTATTATTGTTGTTGTTGTTGTTGTTATTATTATTGATATTATTATTAGGCTTAAATATGGTTTTAGTCCCTGCAAATATGGCACACTTTGTTTTAGGTCCGTGTAGTTTTTTTTTTTTGTTTTTCATCCCTGTAATATGCTCTATTTTGCTTTTAGTTCATCTCATACTCCAAAATCACTCAATTTGGGAAAAAAGTTATTACCGGTTGCATAAATCTACTAGAAACTTTTAAATTTATCCTTTGATAATTTTTTGAGACTAATATGAGAGCTAAAGTAATGTAAAACAAATTATTCATATTTTTCAAATACGAAGTATGTATTAAAAACCTTCAAAATATTAAAATTAAATACTTTTTGAATAAGATAACGAAGAATTAGATGACGTCTTTTAGTCAGGGTAGTTTTTTTTGTCAAAAGGGAGTTGTTATCATCAGTGATGAACTAAAAAGAAAATTATCATAAATTTTACGGATGAAAAACGAAAAAAATTATTTTGAAGGGATGTAAAACAAAATGTGATATATTTGCATGGACTTAAAACATATTTAATTATTATTATTATTATTAGGGAAAAATAAATAAAATACTCTAAACTTTGAAGGAGTGTGAGATAAACTCCCCAAACTTTCATATGTAATTTAAGTATCTCAAACTTTATATAAAAGGTTATTTTAGAACCATGATCATTTTTTCAAAAATAGAAATTTAAGGTGTTAATTGCATAATTTAAAATAGCAAATTACAAATGTTGCAATTATTTAGAGCTGGAGTAGTGTTTGTTATTTTACAACGGAAGTTTAAAATATTGATTGTATCTTCATGAATGCTAAAATATTTTAAATTATGAAATTAACACAAAAAATTAGCATTTTTGAAAGAATAAATACATGACCATGGTGCTAAAATAACTTTTTGTAAAAAAATTTGAGATACTCCCTCCGTTTCTACAAGAAACTCACACTTTCCTTTTTGGGATGTTTCAAAAACAAAGTCACACTTCCCTTATTTTCTTATTTGGCAAAGAAATCTACATCCAAACAGTGCCCAACAGTGCGAAACAGTGTCAAACAGTGTCCGAACAGTGTCAAACAGTGTCTAAACAGTGTTTTCTACAGTAAAATCAATTTATTTCCTTAATAATCGTGAAGTCAAACTGTGACTTTCTTTTGGAAACGGAGGGAGTATTTAAATTAGATATGTAAGTTTGGGGTGCTTACCTCACAACCCTTAAACTTTGAGGTATTTTTATTATTTTTCCCTTATTATTCCTTATTATTATTATTATTATTATTATTATTATTATTATTATTATTATTATTATTATTATTATTATTATTATTATTATTATTATTATTATTATTATTATTATTATTATTACTTATGGGCATTGAATTTAATGTACGTTGAATCAATCGTTGTCCAATCATACGATCAGTAACCGACGGTTCACGATCCATGTTTGACTGAAAGTACAACATGTGGTAAGTAGGAATGATTGGCCTCACAGTCATACATTTGACCAGACATTTCTTTATGTTTCTGGGATTTGAATTTGAGGACAGAGAAAAGGAGAAAAAGACGAAATGTGAGAGGGATTTGCCTGATTAAATTCTCTCTTCTTCTCTCTTCTTTCTCTGGGATGTTATTACAACGAGACGAGAAGAGGAGGGACAGAAACAAAATCATTAATTTTGCATGTCTCTCTTCTTCTCTCTTCTTGAAGCTTCATTGAAGAAGACGATTGGGGAAGTCTGAACCTTGAAAGAGAAGGGAGAAAGGGCATCTGAAAATGAATGTAATGCGTCGTCTCAAGAGCGTTGCATCCGGTCGCTCTTCAGTATCAGATCCAGTAAATTTCCTTCCACAATTCTTTTGCACCCCTCCCCTCTCTTTCCATGAACATACTATGTCATTGTTACCATATTTTGATGCCAATAGAACATGGTGGTTCCAAAGATCCAGTCTTGATGGAAATCTTAGCTTGAGTGAGGAAAATTTGCGGCTATATGCTTTCAGTGTTTTTTTTTTGTCATGCATGTTGGTTTTAAGTTAAATTTTTACTTGAATTTGGATGTATATCAGTATATGTGTGATTTTAGATCGGCTATCTCTACCCTTACTATATGGGATTGATAAAGGCTTGCGAGCAGTTGAACCCCTCCATTTTTCCCCTATTAATATTGATTTAAAGAAAATATTAATTCAATAGGGAGGGGATTCAAGCTTAAAGAGAGTTAAAGTTGAACAAGATGCTAATCAAAGGAGTGATGGTGATTCTGAGGTTGAAGAACAAGGCTTTGCTGTTTCTACATCTCAGGAAGAAGTTATCTCCACTGGTACCTCATCTATGGAACCAAGACCTGCACGGTCAGGATA